CCGCCCAGTGGTCCCCACCTGCGCCCCACGCGGCACCCCGCCCCTCCCCCTCAGTCCTTGAACCTGCGGACAGCCTGCATCTTGCGATAGTAGCCCTCGGCCTCCGCCTCCCCCGTGGCCTCCCGCTCCCCCAGCACCAGGCCGCCAGCTTTGCGCCTCAGCGTGGACTCCCGGCTGCCCGGGCCCAGGGCCCCGTCAGCCATGCCCGGTGGGGGCAGCCCCTCGCCCGTGGCCAGGTTGACCGTGGCCACGGCCCCGAATCGCGGCTCCTCTTGGTCCACGTCGCTGATGGACGAGCCGGGGGACACGCCTGGCGGCTTGGGCCCACCGCGGAAGCCACGGGCCAGGTCCCCCAGCTCGTAGCCACCCTCGCCCTCTGCCCCCTTGGCCGTGCCCCCCGCCGTCTTCCACTCCCAGGGCCCGTTACCCGAGGACAGGTGGACCACGGGGTGGTGGGGCGCGTGCGCGTCGATGGTGACGATGCTGGCCGAGTCGCGGTCCGAGGGCGATCTGTACTGCGAGGAGTCGGAGCTGGCGCTGGAGGACGAGGCGGTCTCCGCCCCCTTGGGGCCCGGCCCGCCCGGCGCCTTGGACATGGCGATCACCTGCAGCAGCCGCGGCGGGTTGGCCACGCGGGGCTGGGCCGACGCCACGGCCACAGCGGCCCCGCTCTTCTCCGCCATCATGAGCCACTTGGCCCGCACGGCGGCGCTGCTCTTGGGAGACAGGCCGCCAGCCGCCTGTGCCCCCTCCTCGGGGATGTGCACCAGCGGCTGCGGCCCGGCCCGCGGCGGCAGGAGGACCCGAGGCCCGAGCCCCGGCCGGGCCTGCACCGTGGGGTAGAGTGAGGGCGGGGCCGGCCCCCCTTCCTCACCCTCCTCCTCCTCCTCTTCCTCCTCTTCCTCCTCCTCCTCTTCCTCCTCCTCCTCTTCCTCCTCCGCCATGGGCTCCGCGGGCGCCCGCAGGTGCCCGGGGCTGGCCTCATCGGGCAGCCCTAGGCCACGGCCCTCCAGCGACTTCTGCTTCCACTCGCTGATGAGCTGCTTGGAGCGAGACGCGTCGAGTGGCACGTGGATGGTCATGTGGCGGCGAGCAGGGTCGTCGAGCGAGGGCGTGCTGACGCGGGGCAGCGTGTGGCTGAAGGTGACCATGTTCTCCTTGCCCATGGGGCTGCGTGGGGCCAGCAGGTCCACGTCCACGCTGGCCCGCTTCAGGCTGCCCAGCGAGGCCTTCTCTCGGGCTACGGGCCGGGGCACGCCGTCCAGCCGCCCTGGCGGCCCCAGCTCGTCGGTGCTCACGGACTTGTTCTGCTGGTACACCGAGTCGTGGCCCCGCTGGGTCAGGGCCCGCAGCGCATCCTTGGCGGGGGCCAGCGCCATCGGCTTCTCTGCCGTCGGGGCCTGGAAGTTGCCGACCG